TATCTTTAAATTTATATTTTATTTTTTTAAAAACACATAATCTATACTATCTATACTATATTATAAAACATCTGATAAAAACTCTTAAAAATATTTTTTTATTCACGAAGTATTGTTTATTGATGCATATTACTTAAAATTTAAGATTACAAGTAAATTATGCATAAGTACAACTTATTAAAACTCCATATTTGAATTCGTCTAACTAATTGCAGATAAACATAATCAAATATTGGATAAATATCTCATTTTAAACATAAAAAATCTAAAATATAATTATGATAATCATTGATAACTAACAGAATTTAATTAAGGAAATTACATCAAAACACAAGAACTTTTARAAAKATTAATTTAATASTGATATCGATATTTTTTTTCAAAATTTTATGATATTTTTAAATTTATATTTTATTCAAAAATAAAAATATTACCACTTTCTCAAAACCACATAAAACCAATATTTACTTAAAATTCAAGATTACAAGTAAATTATGCAAAAATACAACTTATTAAAGCTCGATTTTTGAATTCGTATAACTAATTGCAGATAAATATAATCAAATAGAGGATAAATATCTTATTTTAAAATATAAAAAATATAAAATATAAACAAAATAATTAATTATTATCGTTATAAAAAAATTGTATTATTAAACCAAATATAAATTACTTCTTTATTGTACCTAAGTTAAATTATAATAAAAAATTGAATTAAAAAATTACACAAAAAATGAGAAATTTTAAATAATTAATTTGATACGAATATCGATATATTTTTGTCATGCATAAAGTAAAATGACACATTTTATGTATTTTTCCATTTTTATTAAAAAACACTCCTTAATTGTTAAATGAAAAACACAAAATGACAAAATAGAGGTCAAATTTCGTCGAAACCCAAAACAGATAAAAATAATTTTTGCGTCTCCATAATTATAAAGGTTTATTTTTAAACCTTTACCCATGAAATTTGGTTATAAAAAAGTTAAAAAATACAACTTCAATGGCGTATCAGTTTTATTAAAAATACCAAAAAATTAAAAATACCAGGATCGCCCCCGGGGGCGATCGGACAGTCTGGATAACCCCGGGGGAGAAGTCAAAGGCACGGTCAACGAGGAATGAACAGTAATCTCGACTTTTGAGGGTAATTTTTTTTTAAAAATAAGGCTTAAGGGGGGATCGCCCCCCATATAGTACGGATCGCCCCCGGGGGAGATCCGGGTGGTCATTCCGGCAACAACTCTAAAATGTGGTTATTTTGTGGCAAAGGGTTGTGTAAACCGGTTAGTTTTATAAATTTCTCTTAATATTATGTATTCGAATAACATATAATAATCTATGATCCACCTATAAGTTTTTTTTTTATATATATTAAAAAAATGTTAAGGTTTATTATCAAAACTTAATCTTAAAGTTTCAAGGATTATGTTTTTTAGGTTTTGTCTTGTAAAAATCTTTTTATGGCATACATGTACAAAGAGGATAATTTCAACATAAATTGATCAATTATCTCAATTAGTACATATCTTTTTCCAGGTGCAAGTGGAGAATTTGAACATAATTTACCTTCAATTGATCAAATTCTTTACATCTCAAAACCATTTTGATTTTTTTATTTCTAAATTTTAAAAATATTGTTATATAATATAAAATATTTAATTAAAATATCTATTAGCCATGTGAGCAGGTTTGACTGGTTTTGATCTTTGAGTTTTTTATTTTAACTTCCAGTTTGGTTCCAAGATCGAGAGAAGAGAAATTGATAAATTGATAAATGATAAAAATATTGTAGTAGTTAGGTTAGGGGTGTGGGTCGGCTAGAGGGTACGATGGAGGTTAGGTTAGGGGTGTGGGTCGGCTAGAGGGTACGATGGAGGTTAGGTTAGGGGTGTGGGTCGGCTAGAGGGTACGATGGAGGTTAGGTTAGGGGTGTGGGTCGGCTAGAGGGTACGATGGAGGTTAGGTTAGGGGTCTAGGTGTAGTTTAAGTAGGTTTAAGGTTAGGGAGGGGAGTAGGTTAGAGGGTAACGGGAGGTTTAGGTGGTAAGTTAGGGCTAGGAGTAGGTAGCTAGGGGCAGGGAGATGGTTAGGGGAGGTAGGTTAGTTAGGGTTAGGGCAGTTTAGGAGTAGGTAGGTGGTTAAGGGGGTTAGGGGAGGTTTAGGGGGTAGGTAGCGGGGAGAGGGTAAGGGTTAGGTAGGACCCCTAAACCTAACTACTACCTACCCTATCTCCTACTCCTAAACCTAGCCCTATCCAACCGCCCTTAACTACCTAGCTACCGTCTACCTCCGTCTACCTACTACCCCTATCTCCTAAACCTACCTCCGTCTACCTACTACCCCTACCCCCTAAACCTACCTACTGTCTACCTACCCCTACCCCCAAACCTACCTCTATAACTCTACCCTACTCCTCCTAAACCGCCCCTCTTAACTACCGTCTTTACCTACTGCTACCCCTACCCCCTAAACCTACCTACCCCTAAACCTAACTCTACCCTACCTCCTACTACTAAACCGCCCCTCTTAACTACCGTCTCTACCTAGCCCTATCTACTCCTAAACCGCCCCTTTTAACTACCGTCTCTACCTAGCCCTATCTACCTACTCCTACCCCTATATCCTAAACCTAGCTACCTACCGTCTACCTACTCCTACCTCCTACTCCTAAACCGCCCATCTTAACTACCGTCTCTATCTAGCCCTATCTACTCCTAAACCGCCCCTCTTAACTACCGTCTCTATCTAGCCCTATCTACTCCTAAACCGCCCTTAACTACCTAAACCTATCTCCTAAACCTAGCTACCTACCGTCTACCTACTCCTACCCTTATCTCCTAACCTAGCTACCTATCTACACTCCTACCCCTATATAATCTAAACCCAGCTACCTACTGCTACCCTTACCCCCTAAACCTATCGTCTACCTACTAAACCTACCTACTCCTAAATCGCCCCTCTTAACTACCGTCTCTACCTAGCCCTATCTACTTCTAAACCGCCCCTAACTACCTAGCTCTCCCCCCCTATATCATAAACCTAGCTATCTATCTACAAAACAGAGGGAAAATGTATTTCTTGCTTCTTTCAGTTTGATGACTAATCTATGACATTATAAACTCAGGGCATCAGTAATGAACATAACCACTACAGTCTATGGGAAGATTGTTCGCTTTCTATGGGAATCAAGAATAAACATGAATTGAAGTCCCTTGTTTGAATATGCCTAAAACAATTTGAATTTCAAACGTATTGATCTTTAATTCCAATGGCAATGATGAACGCCCAAATCACAATTTGTTTATTACTGAGCATCGATATAAATAGACCATATCTATTTGATTACGATTAGTAAGACAGCTAGAAAAACAAAAGGAAAACATTGATTAACATATAACCAGATCTAGAAATTTAATCGACTGAAACCTAACCTCTTTAGCACGAAAAGTGTGTGGATTTAGAAATCAGAGCAACGACCATTACGTTCCCAATCACCGTAACGAGTAGGCTCTGGACCTCGGGGGCCACCATATTCGCCGGTCTCTTTATTGATATCAAGCTCTTCGCCATCATCTTCATCGTTTTCCTCTTCGTGACCTTGAGCTTTTTGGACCTTATCTTCTTCGTTAGTGGCTCCATCATGATCTTGGTGAGTTTGAAGGTTTTCAGTCACACTGGAGATGAATCGATTTGTGGAGTTGGTGAATTCCGATCGGAAGGCAGAGAAGATGATAGTCGAACGAGAGATGGCGGTCGGCGGCGTTGAGAGTAGACGATGCAAGTTAGACAATGCCATTTCTTTGTTGCCACGACCCACGGCCTGTGAATTAATTAATCAGAAGAACATTCCAGTTGTGTCTGGAGTCATGACGTGGCTTATTTTAACGTGACATGTTTTGCTTGAAATATGACGTGTGTTTTGCTAATTTTAATACGTTACGCCATAATGAAATGTTATAATTGAAGCAACTAAAATTAAATAATCAGTTATGACAATAATTTGATATGTTTATGTTGTTTGAAAAAGTATAATTAAAAATATGAAGTAACATTCTATTCTCAAGTCCTCTTTTATTTATCTTATATTTGATAAAAACTATTAAAAATCATTTTTTATGAATGAAGTACTATTTATTGATGTATTTTATTTAAAATTCAAGATTACAAGTAAATTGTGCATAAGTACAACTTATTAAAACTTTATGTTTGAATTCGTGTAACTAACTGTGGATAAAATAATCAAATAAAAGATAAACATCTCATTTAAAAATATAAAAAATCTAAAACATAAGTAGAATAATTATTGAGTTTGAAAAAAATATCTAATTATTATCTTAA